TTTTCTCTATTTTTTATATTTTCTCTGTCTTTCCCTCTGCATGAAGCAGACCTTCAGTGCATTTGCTGTTTTTAGAACAGCCGTTCTTATCTTTTCCTCCACCCCAAACTGGCATAAAGCACTTGTTTTGGGTTAAAAATTTCATCTTCCAATTTATTTTTTTCCTGCTTTTATGTTTGAGTTGAAAATTTCATCTTCAATTTATTTTTTTTCCTGCTTTTATAAATTTATTTTCAATTTTTTTCTGGTTGCCTTCTAAATTTATCTTCTTTTTTTTTTTTTAATCTTGTTCTTATCTTCAAATTTTTAGTTTTCAGTTTCTTTTAAAATGTTTAAATTCAAATTTAGTATTTTAATCTTCAGTTCTATGTATTTTCATTTTTCTTAAGTTAATCTTCCAAATCCATTCTTGGATTTTCCTTTAGGGGCTTTTAAAAAGCCCATTTTCCTTTCATCATTTACCATTTTCGGCCAAGCTCTTATCATCCCCCCGAATCTATCAAATATTTCTGAATCTTCAATTCTTCTATTTCCTTCCAATTGCCCTTCAGATTACAAATCTTCATATTTTTCCTCTTCTAAGAGTACTGAGGGGTTTTAAACCAAGAGAATCCTAGTTAGCCGTCTCTTTTTAATGATCAAACTATGATTAATATTTTAATAGAATATAGCCCTCTTTACAAATTTTCTTTAAAATATTAGTATAGTTTGCAATATGCTATCAACCTAATTTAAACTGCTTTTTAAAGCTACTGGTCTGTTTTCCCATCCCTATTTCACCTCCCCCTCCAGCTGTCTCATCTCCCTCGCTCTCCCTGCAGCTCTAATGGGCGCTGGGCAGGGGAGTGCTCTTTATAGGGCAGGGACAGGCTCACAGCCCCAGTGCATTATCTCCTTCCGCCTGGACTGAGGGAGGTGGAAAGCACCGAACAACAACAGAAAAAATAGTCCCCGGGATTTTTTAAATCAGATGTTAGCTTCATAATATATAAAGCTTTTACAATGTCTATTTATTGCGAAGAAAGGAAAAATGTCATGTGTTTTTCAAATCGGAAAACAATTTATTTAAAAAATGTGCTTTTTAAATGGGTTTGACCTGACTTTGTATTTGTAACAGCTTTGAATTGGTACAAAATCCTACATCATTTAATCAAATCTGGGTCTAAGGTGTGGGCTGAATCTGTATTAAGACCTTAACTAGGCATTAAAAGAACTTTTGTCAGTTATTTAAATTTTTTGTTGAGAAGGTAAGGATGTTTCAGTCTGACTGACTCACGTTGTTGTAATGGTGTCTGCAATAGAGGAAATTCTGGAAACAGTTTCTTTAAAAAAAAGGATCTAAAAATCAAATACTTGCAATGGTTTAAATTAAGGCTTTGAGGAAAGATATGTGCCTATTATAGTTCAGGTGAAGAGGAAAAATGTAGCTCACATAACATCTGGAAAGAACCCCAACAAGTTATTTGGATCTACCTCGGTGCCTGGATACTTTTTGTCACGTTTACCATTTGCAGAAATGCTGACCAGACTTTGCTTTCTCACAGAATAGACTGAGGCCGATGGGTTTGTAATAACATTGTCCTGGGGTGTAGTATGAGAGCTCCAGTCATTTTTTAAACGAGTTAAAATTCAAACAAACCATGTTCCTGTATCTGCTCCCTGCAGGCCTGACTGACATCCTACCCCTGGGCTGCAATGATTTTTGTCAAGACGTTATTCAAAAGAATCCCAACAAATCGAGAAAACTAGTGAAAAGACAACCTGGCTCTCATTCAGCTTGCCTTAACAAAAAGGTGTAGTGTACACGATGCAAAAAGGCTGAAATTTTTCCAAGTTGTATAATAATGAGAATGTCCTTATGCTCACCTTTTATCGCTTTTATAACATTTGTATCAGGTTTGAAATTGAAAGCAAATCAATATTTTTTTTTTCTAAGTGAGAAAAATAGGCTGCTGGTAGGGAAGAAAAAGAAATAACCCTATTCAGTCTGTTTTTGTTCGTAACAGAAAAGGTCCTCCAACATGCTTACATATAAACCCGACTTGCTTTCAACACAGCTAACATAGATGACGATTAGTATAAATCACAGGAGCGTTTTCCAGGTTTAAACAGAGGTTAACGCAGAGTCACCCCACCCGAATACGTTCTTATGGAGAGGTATTTAAAAACGGGGGGAAAAAATGCTGTGCGCTGAAATGAAGCCTGCTCGTCATTGTGCTTAATGAATAAAAGAGAGAAACGTGGAAAGATCTGCATTTGAAACGTGGAAAGATCTGTATTTGAAGGCTTAACAAGAAACGGATGGAAATTTCCCCTGTCGGATCAAAAGCAGTGTTTTTTTGTGGGGAGAGAAAACCGTACAAGGCTTTTTTTTCCCCTGCTGAAAAATGGTGACACTAAGTGAACCGCAATTAGTTATGCTATGATATTACCGTTTCCCCCCCCCCCCCCAAGTTCACACTATTACAGGCAGCTTTTACTCTCATGTGTTTCTGGATATGTTGTCACTTAGCACGGTTACAAACTGGGAAATACTGTCACCTCAGAGGATCTTTAAAGGCTGCCGACAGGAGAAAATCCATTTATTCCATTATATCTATGTGCAGCCCAAAGCAGCCCCTAATTGCAGCTCCCCCAAACCCTCACAACGGGGTACGAGTCAAGGAGTCCCATCCTATGGAAAGCAGAGCTATCCTAAAGACGCCTCCAATCCTGGAGACCCTTTAAAATACACCCAGACATTTTCTTCAAGCGTTTCCTGTAAGAAATCCTGCCTCCAAAATTAAAATCACCTCAGCATCCCTGCCCAAACACAAGAGGCTTCACACTCCTGGCTGGGCCCCTTCAAAATGCTGAGGGGGAAAAAACCAACACTGTGTCTTTGTCGTCACGCACACACACAAATCATCCAAAAATCTCCACTTTTGGTTATTTCTGAGGTACAAGTTTTTGCGTGCATAGGCAGTGGCAGCTCTTGCAGGTCCAGGGGTCCTGTAAAGTGAAGCCACGCCAGAAAAAAGCCAATGGCTCCTTCACAACTTTAATCTTTAAAAAGGTGGTAGTTTAGAAGGGATATTTTCGTTAATAACTTCACCTCAGGAAACACCCTGGGCT